ATTTAAGAGCTTAAACTGCTTAGCCCAGTTGTTTTTTTTTGTTTTCTTCAAATAATGTCCCACCAGTGTGTGTTGAAATCCTCTAGGTGAAAGTTCACACAAAACTCAGGTCATTATATGTGGATTTACAGGTTTGATTACTCTGGTCATGGAGCTTCTGAGGGTGTATTTTCAGAAGGCACCATTGGAACATGGAAAAGAGACGTCCTGTTCATGTTAGATGAACTCGCTGAAGGTCCCCAGGTAAGGCTAGAGAGACTTTACGATGCTTTCACGGTTACACCTAGACAGCACAGACACTGATAGACCTGAGTCAATAATTAGGACCAGCTGGTGAAATGTAAACATTTGTTTTTTTAGAAGACCTTTTCTTTTAAATAAAAAGGACTTCTATAAACTGAAATACTTATTTCTCATTTTTTAATACTCATGTTCAGTGTTTTCCCTGAAAGGGATAGTTCACCCAAAAATGTAATTTCTTTCATTATTTAATCACCCTTATGTCAGTCCAAACCTCTATGAGTTACTTTTTTTCTGCTGAACATAAAAGATATTTTGAAAAATGTGGGTAACAAAACAGTAGCTGGTCCCATATTATGGAAAATACTATTGGGGATGTCAATGGGGACCAGAAACTGTTTGGTTATCCACATTCTTCAGAAGATCTTCTTTTACGTTCAGCAAATGAAAGAAATTCAGGTTTGCAACAACCCGAGTAAATTAATGAATTTTCATTTCTGGGTGAACTGCTTTTGATTCTTAATTCATTTTAAAGAGTGACCACTAGAGGTCACTAATACTTTTAAATATAGCATGGAACACTGGCTTTGACTGGAAGGAAGTACGTTGTCTCCTAGATTCTCGTGGGCTCCAGTATGGGCGGCTGGCTGATGCTTTTAGCTGCTATCGCTCGCCCAGAGAAGACAAAAGCCTTGGTGGGCATTTCCACAGCAGCAGATCATTTCGTTACAGCATTCAAGACACTTCCTATAGAGGTGAGATGCAACTGAAGTACTCATGTTTTAGTTTTATGCACATCCTGCTGATTAATGAGTCTCAAACATCAGTCAGAGTTCACATTTGTTATTCAGGTGAGAAAAGAGTGTGAGGACAAGGGTGTATGGACAATCCCCACGAGAAGTAACGAGGAGGGCATGTACACTGTGAGTATGGACTTCCTGCGTGAGGCGGAAAACCACTGCATCCTTCAGAGCCCCATCCCTATCACCTGCCCCGTACGTCTCATTCACGGCCTGAAAGACGAGGACGTGCCTTGGCACATCTCCATGCAAGTGGCCGAGCGTGTGCTGAGCCCCGACGTGGACATCATTCTGCGGCGCCACGGCCAGCACCGCATGGCTGAAAAAGATGACATCAAGCTCATTGTCTACACCATCGATGACCTCATAGACAAGCTTACCACCATGGTGTGAAACACCGTTTGGGATGGGGTTACCGAGCAACCTGCCTTAAGACCCGCTCCCACTTTCTTTGCCAAACACCCGCTTCCTGTTTTGTTGTGCAAGACAAGAATGTTGGAAAAGGCAAACTGTGGGAGGACAAAATGGTTTCTTTTTCATGTCTTTTACATGTTTACCGCAATACTGTGCCATTAAACCTTTTAGGTAAAGCTGCTGTTTGTCTAGCATAAGGTTTGTCTAGATCTTCTGTGCCTTTTTTTACCATATTTCACACTGTTTTATGGAAATAAAGCCTCTGTATACCAATACGCAGTGTTTTGGAGTAATTAAACACGGTTTCTTAAACTCCTTAAAGCAATAGTCCAGGTTCAGTATTGATAATTTTAATTTATCCATCAATTTATATTATCGTCATTTTATAAATTTTAATCCATCATTAATATACATACTGTACACGCCTGACCTCATTCATTTCCATTGTACCTCACTGTAACCTTACTATAGTACACCGTACTTTTTTTTTTTTTTTAAGAAAATAGTATGTGCAACAAGTGGTAATGCACTTTTGTTGCCATAAACATTAGGTAACAAATGCTGTAGATTGAGTTTTTGCTGAACTCTGAAGGTTCCTTTTAGGCCATTATCTTTTAAGGAATTAGTGGTGTATGTGTGTGTGTACTATTGCTTTAGCCCACCTGAACATCCCACTAAGCAATAAGCATGTTATATTAAAGCTGACCTTTCGGTTCTCTCCTGCCCTTTGCATTCTCTGTTTGTTTGGAGGACGTTTTGGGCCACTGCTCCAGAAACAGCTTGGTTGTTTATTAACGTGCATGATTAGCGTTGGACTGGATTCAATGGGCCGGGGGCTTTTTTTTTTTACCCCATCCCAATCCAATGAGCTTTAACAACCAAACTGACCTTTCTATATCAGTTGATTATCAGAGGCCTCTAAATTGAAAATGGCACCAAGCAGTTTACACAAAATAAAACATGACTAGAAGTGAATACATAATTTAGGTGTCATTTAAACCACAGTAATTAACAGCTATAGAACAGCTTGCTAGTATTATATAAGCTGCCTTATATTTTGATGTTGTTTAGCCACTATTAAACTATTATAAAACATTATGTAATTTAATACAATCTTAGGGGTATGTCGTTTATTAGTATTATGTCATTAAAGATTTAAATTCCTCAGTTTACTCGCTTAGGTCTACTTAAGAAAAAAAACGTGTACTATTTAGTAGTAGCTAAAGTAGCTTTAAGCCATGCTTAAAGAATTCAGTAATTATTTTAGCAATAGATGACTTTTTTCCTGTTTATCACGTGCTACTCACTTTTTTTTCCTCTGCAGAATTTGCATGCATTAGTAATGCATCTTAATCTAATTGGAAATGGACTTGGTTATTTATTACTGACAGGACAAGAGCAAAAGGACCTGGGGGTTTTTTTCTGTCATTTTTTAAACGGTTTTACATTTTACTTCTTAAATCTGGCATTACGAAAACGGATTTAACGTTATAGGGAGGTGTAAATATATACTTTTATTAGGTACAACTCGTTATTTTAAAACTAAGATTTTGTTATAATATATATTTATTGCAGTGCAGTCTGATTCTGTTCCATAGTGCCCATTTTGTGTCATTCTTGATATTCCCGACGAAAATTCTCAGCTCATGAATGTTAATTAAGTCACGCCGATGCGATGCTACTTGGTAACTTTCCACCAGCGTCCACCGACGTAAGCTAATTACTATTCATAAGCCAAGCCTCACCATAGGGTGATTCCGCGCACCGGACAGTGCGCTGGAGCCACGCCCCGTCCCCCGCCGCATGGATGTTTCAGTCCAGCATCTCTGAGCACTGACCACAGGGAGGATTTGACCTCGCTGCACAGGAGGACGACACGCGCATCTGCTTGCAGTAAGTAAATCTCTATTCTTGACAAAAATTATTTGTATAATGATAACGCAAGTAGAATTAATTAATTATCAG